GATCATGTAGAGTTGAAGACCTCTTTCCATTTTTTCACTTATACGCAAATTAAAAATCATAAACACTAAATTTTTATGGAAATAAACATGATTATACCATATTAAGCTATAAAAAAAGTTCTCTTATACAAAGTTTAACGGCAAAACTTCAGAGCAAAACTAAAATAACGGTAGAACATATTATATGAATGTGCGTGAATGAAGCTATTAAGTAAGTACACGTGTCTGATAGGTATTAATCATTCAAAAAAAACACAACAGAATACAAAAATAAATACAAAAAGGTGTTATCGGAAAATTGCAAGTCGACAGTTAAAAGATGACTGTTGACAATAAGAAAAATAACCATATGTTTGTATCTAAAACGTATTATGTTGTAAAGCTTTAAAGTAGATAAGTCTACAACGGGGACATTTATCCATAAATACCCCAGATATTGATAAAAACAATGAAAATGTATCATTTGGATAGTTTTATATATTATTGCTTCAACAAAAAATGTTAATAAATATCTGGAAAAAGTAATAAATAAATAATAAAGTTAAAAGTAAGTTAGTATTAACAAAATTAAAGAGTTCTCTTAGAATTTTTTATGTTTAATAGTTATTTAATCAAATTCTGTAATTTCTACTTAACACGTAACATTTTAAACCGACATACATTTATGCATGAAGATAAAATACTAATCAAAATAAAATGTGAAATATTTGAAGAACATAAAAGTCTACAGCATTCAGAATTCATTATTTTTGGCAAAACTTTTTAAATATCTGTCCCAGGAAAGGACATTGTCTGTGAGCATGAAATACATTGTGCTCACTTTTCACACAATTAAGACAAAACAAACAAAAATAACGTCTAGAAATACCCAAAATACTTATATCTAAATATATAAAACGTATTTTAATATCTATAACTTTATAATAACATTTACGTATCCACTTTTTAAATCAATCTAATTTTAATTTTTCTAAACCGTCTGTTACAAAAATGCAAAAAAATATTTCTTTTTACATTATCACAAAGTATTTTTTATAACTTTTTAAATATATTTACTGCAAAACCAAAATAATATACATGTAACAAGCATTTCAACAATTCATATAAATAACATCTTATTACAAAGTGGGCATAATAAACTTTCATTTATATGCACTTCCCGCAATTCTCGTTTCAGTATATATTTCATAAGTTATCAACAATAAAATCAACACTCATGAATCGTCAATATTGTAAACATTTCTGATTTGATATAATTGTTAATCGTATTCACGTGGCTTGGAATCTATTTGGTCTATGGAGCGTGCATAATTTTTGACGTCATGACATGGACCCATAAATACGTCATCAATGGCGACGGTGGCTTCAAGTTGAGGACGTCCTTTCTCTGCTATGAATAAAGCTCGATACTAAAATAAGAAGTGAGAAAGATATATACAAATTACTATATACAAGTTGTATATTCAAGCTATATATACAAGCGACATTGTTTAGCAATTGTAGTATGTGAACGGATAGGCCGATGTTAAATTAAACAACTGAGCTCCCATGTTCAGGTCATAATATTCACTGCCTCTGAAAGTGTGTACGGCTTGTCACTGACCACTGTTGTTTTAAATCTTGTTGCAGAGAATGAATGAAAGAGCCTTCAAATTATTCTTAATCCAATCAAAATTTTAAGTGTTTGTCTTTTTCTATTGTCTTCCAGTCGCAAAATAATTCATCTGTAGATATTTTGTATACGTGTGTATCTCTCCATATACTAGCAGTTACTATGACATGCCAATATAGTTAATGTAGAACTAAATCCAGAAAATACGTGGAAAGTTATATTTTATTTTACTCATGAGTTACAAAAATGGTATTGCCTGGGGCGAGGAAGGGAAGTTGCGATGCCTTCATCTATATAATAACATTTCTTTATTTCTACACTAGTTGTAGAATAGGTCAATAGCAGCGACACTCCTGCTTGAAAAAAATGTGAAATTAACCAACGATTACAGTGTAACTTACAGAGTATCGATATGCTGGTGTGAATTGGATTGTCGCCCTTGCCCATTTATTTTGTACTGTCGAGGCTGAGTTAGACCACACTTCTCTCCCTTGTATTAACACACGCAACGTCGAGTTTTTGTATTTACCATACATGTTGTAGTAAAACCTGATTTTCAAATAAAACTTGGAATTATATTATACAAAAAAAAAAGAACGAAATTAGAATAGTACAATGCGACATGAAATTGTGAATTATTGCTACGGAAAATGAAATATACATAAAGTAAAGTAACAACTTTTGTATCAAATTGTGTTGGAATTGTACTACTGTTAGTGCATTAGATTGTGGAGTTGCGGAAAAAGTTAACAAGTTTGGAAGCAAAATATCCTTAATTCATTTATCACTAATTTTCTGCCATAGAAAAAAGGAAGATCTAGATATTTATACCATTAGGTACTAAGTACAATATGTTTTATAATGATCAAGGTTGAAAGGAACAAGGTTTAACTGCATGGCTTGCAAACAACAGGTGTCAAATGCCGTGTGGCAGCCGCAAAAAGTTGCCCCGTACTTCACTTCAGTGTTGTTATATTTGTCTGGTCCTTTGGAATCATTGATTCCATGGCATTAAGTTCTGAAGATTGAGTACCGCTCAAGCCGGTGCTTGGGGGTCTGGAGGGATGTTGTACTTTTTTCATTCTTCCACTTTTACAAACTTAATCAAACGGACTCAAGGGATGGCTTTTTCACGATATTTGCAATAATGAATGTGTTTGTGTTAAACTTTTGTATACTCAAAGTATTAGGGAGAAAAGGATGTAGATATTCTTATCCACTTTCAGAGCTCATATCAGCATTACATTTTAATTATGCAAAAAAATAGAACTTTAAAAATGTTTATATAGAAATATTTATATCATATCTTATTTTAAACAATATATATTACATCAAACAACCCGATGCATTGTATTGTAAAGGCGGTGTCAATAGATAAGCTCTATTCAGTTCGCCCACCTCTGATCCTATATACAAATATCTCCCTGCAAATAGAAAGAATAATATGCTAGTTCTAAGTGTATTTCAGGTTGATTGTTAAAGAAAGAATTTCCGTCAGATTATATCAATACATTTCTAGACCCCTACACTTGGCCTCATTCAAGTGTTTTACCTTATTAAATTAAAATACATTTATATTAGTTAAAAACAAGCAGCAAATACATACTTCTTGTAACATAGAAGAAGATACGCTTAAACTCTTTTAGTTATCGAACTTAAAGCATATTGATGTTAGCTCGAGTATGAAACAAGTTTTTGTAAAACTTATATCAATATTTTTAAGTCCCGTTCCTGCAACTTGACAGTACTGTTGACACGTGAGTTCACTTGGTCGTGACCCGAGTACGGTTCGAGCGGTTTAGAATCAGATTTCTTGCATATCAGACTGGCGTTTCCGTTAGTTTTACCCATGCCGGAAATTTCATCTGGCATGGGGGGTTCCAGATGAGTCGCGTGCTGTACAATGGCACGATAAAGATGACGTCATTTTACCGTTATGAATGATTTTGTAATTCATACGCTGTTGTAAGAAAGTAGTTACGGTTGTAATGATATAAATTTTCATTGAAAATAAAGAAAAAGAATTTAAAATATATTGGCATATAGTAGAATATGCAAGAAAAAATATCTGACATATGTTTGCGGTTCGGATCGGAATATCCGTCCCTCGGTCACCCGCCCATGGGCGGTAACTCGGCAAGCCTCGTTACCGCCCAATGGGCGGGTCACCTCGGGACGGATATTCCGATCCGAACCGCAAAATATGACAGATATTATTATTCTTGCATATCAGACTGGCGTTTCCGTTAGTTTTACCCATGCCGGAAATTTCATCTGGCATGGGGGTTCCAGATGAGTCGCGTGCTGTACAATGGCACGATAAAGATGACGTCATTTTACCGTTATGAATGATTTTGTAATTCATACGCTGTTGAATGAAAGTAGTTACGGTTGTAATGATATAAATTTTCATTGAAAATAAAGATAAAGAATTAAAATATAATGGAATATGGTAGAATATGCAAGAAAAAATATCTGACATATGTTTGCGGTTCGGATCGGAATATCCGTCCCTCGGTCACCCGCCCATGAGCGGTAACTCGGCAAGCCTCGTTACCGCCCAATGGGCGGGTCACCTCAGGACAGATATTCCGATCCGAATCGCAAAATATGACAGATATTATTATTCACCTCATCTACTAGACTACTCAACAACTTATATCGATTCCAGGATATTTGCTTTAAGAGAAGGATAATTTTAAACTATTGCCAATTGTTCCTTTTACGGCACGAACAGAAATGACATGTCAGATTTAGTTCGCTTTAAACGATAATTCGTTATAAGCGAGTTCGTCATAAGTGGAGTCGACTGTACAATTTCATGTTACAATTAAGAGATAAGTAAAAATAAGTCATGTAAGTCACGTATTTATCTTCTTAAAATAAAACCTCACCAGATTTGGTTTGGGTAGTGTGATCTGTTGCAGGGCTTATTTTCGGAAAAGTTGTCTCCGGATGTTTTTGCCAATAAATTTGTATCCAGCTACTGGATGGTGAGCTCGAGTCTCCATTTAAGCATGCATCTTTCATGTCACAATAGATAAAATCTGCAGAACCTAACATTTAATATAAATAACAATTACTTCATAGGTATACATACGCTTAACATTGTAAGTTATAATAAAAAATATAATTAATTTGGGTATAAGTAAACGAATGTAAGCTTAACACTACTGCTGTTAAAGTGAATGGGTCTATAATTAAATTGATATTTTTTAGTATCAGACATAACAACATATCACGAAGTGTATTATACATGATCATTTACAAAGCAGATAATGAAGTATTCTAGAACGAAATTATTATTCACCATGTGAAGTTCATAATAAATCACTAAGGACTTTATTTGCCTTTATTCAAGCAATATTTATAAAAAAAAATCCAAATTATAGATTTCTATTGTTTTACCAATATTTGAAAAAAGAAATTACCATTGTAGACCTATGTTACAACCAGTTTTGCAATAAAAACGAGTTTTGCAATAATAAACAAGTAATGCAATATCCACATTAAGCGAATGCAGGTCTTGATTACAATTTAGATTGTAAACGAAAGTAAGCTTATTTACCACAACCAAAGTAAACGGATGTATCCTTAGCTTACACAACTTTTGGGAAACTAATACTTTTACAAGCTTACATAACATTCCTACTGGTACACGAATGCCAGCTGAGTTAAAGATCATGAATGTTGTAATTAATGTTGTTACCGCACTTAAGAGAAATTTTATATATGTTTATAATTATGCTTCTAAAACAATTTTCAAACATCGAAGAATATGTAAAATATGTACTGCAAATGTTTGTCAACATTATATGTAATCATTAAAATATATGCATTCATTTCTTATTGAAAAGTTTGACGTAAATGAATTTCTTATTACCCCGCTTTAATAACATAAACTGTAAATTCGGTAATAATTTACAAATTGTGCTTTTTGGAACTATATTGATAAATCTTCATTTGTACATAATATTTATGATATAAAACCATAAAAAATTGTGTTACAGGATCTTTAACACAAGTGCTGGTGTAAACAAATTCGAGCTGATACAACGAATGCAAGCTTAGTTTACACAACTTCTGGTAAAAGATGGCAGTTTAGACTTTTATATTCATGTTTTATTATTATTATTTAAAGTTTGATATAGTCTATAGCATTGATATGACTATAGACATATACAATACAATAATAATCATTTAATAAAGAATGTCTTGCATTTTAAAAGTAATGTACCTACTTATTATGCAGTATGGCTTTGCACCGGACCAAATTCCTCCAGACATGCACGTACTTTGGTCTCCTCCAATGAGAGTTCTGCCAGATTTACAGGTAAACTTTACAGCCTCGCCGTTATAATATGTGCTTTTCCTTGGACTTACATCCACGTACTCGAAGTCCGGTAGTGGACACGTGGATTGTATTGGCATTATATCTATGTGAGACGATCCATCTGTTTTGTACAATAAATGCGGAATACAATTCACTCAAATAAACAACAAAAGTTTTTTGTTGTTGCTTTATTCAAATTTTGCAATGATATATTTTCATTTTACTGACAATTAGGATCATCTAGGTCATTTCAAGGATAGTTTGTTTGGGTAAAACATGGGGAATTCGAACTTTTAACCCCAAAATAACGGTAGGTATTACTGTCTTCTTCTCAGTCAGTTTGGAAGTTTTTACGTAATACAAGATTATAATACAAATAATTACGACATTCTTAGTTCGAAGACCCAATAAACTCAAAATTCAGTCTATTTAGTTTCAGCATAGTTCTAAATAGCATGTCAAATGTTATATTTTTTGTTATACTGTAGTACGATGTATACTCATATCCTATAATTCCTAAATGTTTATCCATTGGCGACATCAAGCAAAGAAGGATTAGTCATTTTAAAATATTATATATAAAAATTATAAATTATTATAATAAATTTAAGGCAGTTATGTGGAAATATTACACTACTTACCACTACAATGGTAAAGCCATTTTATCCTTTTGATATCTAATTCACTCAATGTTTTTCCTTGACCAAGTTTGTTTCTATCAACATAAGAATGGGCAGCGTTTGGAACTATGGTATCCCAATACGAAGGCAATTTAGAGAACTGGTTGCGCTTGTAATGTAGTAGTGAGAAATAGTCATATTTCACCGCTGATTCCACTCCAGTTGAGTCGCTTCGTATCTTAAAGTTAGACTCTTCTCCTAAAAAATATTATATAACATACATAAAATAAACATTTTAGCTTGCTATCGTATTCACACTGAACAATCAAAAGACCAGACGACAGTTCAATACACCGACAACAATGATACTTCATGTATATATATCTGTACATAAAATATCATGACTGCCAAATGAAAAAAACATTGTGTTGTCGCAGGGATGGTTAATAGAGTAACCGGATACTATCACCACCTTGAGTGAACTCCTATCTCCCTACCCCAAGTCCCTGCTATAAGATCCTTTCAGCGCTTTGATACCATTCATGCTCACAGTCATACAATTAAATACATAGCACCGAAAATTGCCGGTAACTTGAAATTTGACAAATTTTGATCCATGTAAAGACTGAATCGCAAAATGAAGGCAAAAGTGAATAGAAAATGCGATAACATAAGTAGAAACTAAACAATCAGTGACCTTACCGCCACCAAAATTCCCGCCTCTATCTATTTTATATCCAAGTTACAAGAAGAGATACTTAACGGACGTTCTTTTTGTCGCTTATTGCTTCCAATACTTTAATCGGAATACTTTTATTTTTATCGTAGATCAAGGGACCATATATAAAATGAAAACAATACGTACCGTCTATTATATTGTTATATTTTATATCAACATAGTTATCTCTGTCGGTCCTGCTATGCTCGTGCCAAAACCCCAACGCATGTAAAAGCTCGTGTAAAATGATTTGCTCTGTGAAACAACCCGGGCCGAGATTTAAAATTTGTCCGCCGGTCTTACGGCCTACAGAGCTGTAGCATCTGAAAGTAAAGCAATAAAATGAATAATCTTTAACAGAATCAATCTTGTTGTACATTTCCTTTGCAATAAGAGTAATTAGTATGTTCCTTTTCAAACTGAAATTTTTACTATACTACTACCAAAAAGTACAAGAAAGGGACACTTTATAACATTTCAAAAGTAGACATTGAGTATAAACACGTATTCATGATGAAAAATGGTTCAATACGGTTTACCTCCCTTTAACTATTTCTTTCGTTTAGATATGTATTGTGAACTGTTACAGAGCCATGCAAAAATAATTAAAATCTAAGTAAAGCTCTGTGATTCAAGTCCGACATATCTAGCTACCACCAATTTTATTCACTTTCTTGAATAAGAATTGTTCCATATAAAATAAATGTGTACATGTATGTTAAAGTATCAAGATGTATTTATTACTAGTACTGAACATTTTATATTTTAAGCTGTTGGACCTGAATGGAATTACTTTAAAGATTTATTTCTTTTGCTTAATATTACAAATTTCAGAACCATTCTTGAATAAGCAATGCAATATGTCTGCTACAGAAGTTGTCCAAATTGACATGTAATTCAGTGAATGGAATTCTCCAACTTTGTATTATCGGCGCATCGCTAACACCGACTTATTTGGGATATTTCGTAATGTGCGGTCATGCGTGTTTTGAATATGAACATCTTGAAACAGTTTAACAAAAATGTAATATTTACGTTAAATCTGTCTGCTTTACACAATATGTAAATAATCGAGTTAACAACAATTTGTAACTAAATGCATACATAGTAAGAACATTCAGTACGTCGATAGTATATAGCGTTCCAGGCTATTTTGCAAATATTACTTACCTTATGTTTCAAATTCAAAAGATAACAGTCAAAAGTTAAATATAATTATTTTAACATAGAGTTCTTGTTGGTTGTTTACTTTTATAAAAAAAATGCCAATAAATGGCTTGAAATGAGCCGCGTCACGACAAAACCAACATAGTGCATTTGCGATCAGCATGGCACCAGACCAGCCTGCGTATCCGCGCAGTCTGATCAGGATCCATGCTGTTCGCTATCAGTTTCTCTACTTGTAATATGGTTGGTAAGCGAACAGCATGGATCCTGATCAGACTGCGCGAATGCGCAGGCTGGTCTGGATCCATGCTAGTCGCAAACGCACTATGTTGGTTTTGTCGTGACGCGGCTCAAATATACTTACTCGGAATCTACAGCAGTTATATTTATATAATCATAACTGCTAGATGCTCTGGGAAAGAAGTCTATACAAGAGTTTGTCAGAGTTTCAATCGTTTGCATAGCATTCACTAAAGATACAACAGCGCTTTTGTTTCTTGCTGAAAATATGTAAAGTTGTATTATTTATCAAAATGTATAATGTGCAATTATTGCTTTAATTCAAAAGTCATACATTCGTAAAAGAACAAGATAATTGATAATGATAGCTAGAGATTATTTAGACATTTCTTAGTGTTAATGACAGTGCTAGAAAATAATCGAAAAATTTCAAACCAAAATCAGGAACTTTTGTACAATTATAATCATTCATTTCTCCTAAGAAGCATGTGAAACAAATTGCTTATACATGTAATATACAGTTACTCATTGGCCAATTACATAAACCATCCTTTCCTCTTTTTTCTTGTTGGCAATAAGTGCAGTTGTACAGAGATTTAGTATTGTTTATGGAAGTCAAATTACTACTTTGTTTACATATTGCTATTATTATGACATATAATTCACATTCAGTGCTACTTTCTGAATGTGTTAAGTATTTGACATGTTCAAAAATTATTATTTAAATGCAATTCAACTCGTGTTTTCTCTTTCTTAGAGAGAAAAAAGTAAAATTTGTGGATAAATGTGCCTTTAACAATGTGTGAGGAAATAAAACATATGTTGCTTGTTGCTGTTTGTCGATATCTAAAACACATGCACTAACTTAATATTTACAACAGAGATCTTGTCATTAGAAACGGTAAAATGAATTCTTACTTATACTTTGGTCCAGAATATATGGGATTTTTCCATTTAACCAAGTATTTGTATTTATTGTGACCGCTGTCATCATCGTTTGAATCAATGGCTACAAAACAAAACATTTAATAATTCTTGTAAGGTATGTAAGAAATGTGAAAGCAATATGTGATTAATTTAACAAAATTGATAAATACAGAATCCCTAAAGAAAGCCCAACACGGCAAAATTTAAAATGTTGCAGGCTCGATTTGATTGAGCCTGTTCATGGACGGTACTGGAAAGTGCAAGTTACCGTCCACGCCCCCTAGCACCGGCTTAAGCAGAATTCAACATTTAAACATGAAATAGTAAAATTTTGAATTTAGAAACATCCGCAGATGTGTTCATACGGCGGTTATCATGGAACCTTCAATGTGACACTTCCATGCCATTCCATGAAAAGCGGCGTATGGTCCCCAGGTTATAAAAAGCGTGTGCCCAACAAGTTACACATTTCAAATTAATATGGTCTTTTTCTACAATATAACTTAGAAAAATATTTTTCTTTAAAGTGACATTATGCCCATCCAAGGGTATATAGTGAGTGAACAGATGAATATCAAAATAAGTTTTCATTTTGCCATAATTCCTTTTAATTTAATAATTCAGCTCCAATAAACAATAAAAAGTGCACAGATCCAAATAAAATTTCTGTGAATATCTATTAGAATTTACCTCTAACGCTCAGTTTATAAAAAGAGTGGGGCAGTCTTTTTATATTTTAGGCAGATTTATAATTTTATCCCAAATATTTTCCAATATCAACTGTTGGTCAAACACCATTTAAACAGTTAATCTTTTGAAATATAAAATCAATTCAGCTTAACTTGAGTATGGAAATATGAGCATAAATTGCATAATGTCACTTTAAGCATCGGATTTCTATCGTATTGTTCTTCATTAAGTTTTGGAAAACAAGGTTATTTCAATACAAATTCTACTGAAATACATTAAAATCATACAACATTTCAGATATTGAATTCGTCTTAGACTCGTATATCATTTCGTTATTTTTGTCACTTTCCGTGTTATATAAAAAAAATCAAGCAAGCATGGTGTGTGACCAAGAGTAATAGAAAATCCTGGCTACATAAACGCTTTTAAAATTTAACAGAAGATAAAAAAAAAGATAAGAAAGTTGATGAATTTTAACGAATGTTTATAAAGGTTGATGAAAACTTCTTGAAAATTCTCACTTATACGATGTGCAATACAATATGAAGAAATGATAAATTATCAAGTACCTGATTCTCGTGAATATCCCATTCCACAAGCGTTGGTCTCCCTGGAACGAATACAAATAAACAACATAAAAGGTAATTTCACCAACCTTGTTAGAGTGACTTATTAAAGCAGTTTTTGAATAAAACCTATGATCTACTGCAAACTGACACGATTAACTTTGTGTTTTAAAAAACAAAAACATTCACATGTTCACATTCATCAGCGTTACACTTCAGGACCAATTTAAAATTTCTTTAAAGCAAGCTCATATGTATTATTTTATTATTTTTTTTACTAGCAAGCAATTTTTTGTTAGATTTGGTAACGGGTCTGTGATGCTTTAATGTCTTATACAAACATGATTTTTTATTGCTGGCAATTGCTTATTAAAAGTTTAGATATCGTTTAATTGGGATAAAATTAATTATGTCCAAGGCATTGGAAAAAATCATTACGGACGTGTCAGCTCTGCCTATATATAAATAAGATACATGGTGTCGGATTCCTGGTACAATACGAAATAGAGACCTTTCACAGTATAAAACGAGTACTACTAATGCATGCCTACTAAACAGTGGCCTCTTTTACATTTTGGTGATCTGTTCAAATGAGAGTCCTCGGTACTTCCGTTGTTGGCTTTCAGTGCTTGATAGTAAAACAAAAGCCTTGATAATGAGTTAATAAAGTTAAAAAAAGGCCATAATTCTGTCAAAATATATGTAAGAGTTATGGGTCGTGGGCAGTCACCTCCAATTATGCTGTCATATAAGTGTGTAAAGTAACTCATTCAGTACCTATTTAGTATACCAACTTGCAGGTCAATACATTGACATGATTATTTATTTATTTATTTTATTTTATTTTATTTTATTTTATTTTATTTTATTTTATTTTATTTTATTTTATTTTATTTTATTTTATTTTATTTTATTTTATTTTATTTTATTTATTTTTATTTTTTTATCTATTTGATGATAATTTTATGCTAGTGTACGGAAATTGACCAATAATTCATAATGACAAATGTTTAGGATAACTTATAAAAACAGTCTAAAATATAAAAAAAAGACTGCCCCACTCTTTTTATCACTTAAGCGTTACATGAAATATTCGGAGGAATATTGATATAAAATTAAGTGTGAAACATAGATTCTACTTTAATGTTTATTTTATGAAATATAATATAAAATCCAAAAGCACGAAGAGTTACGCATTATATTTATCTTATGGAATATAATATAAAATTCAAAAGCACGAAGAGTTACACATTAAAAAACGAGTAAATTTACCACACAGAGTTGTGTAGATTACCAGACATATTGTGAAGTATTTATCAACTTGTGTTTCAATCAAAAACATTTTTAATATTTTTAACTTTTAATGTTAAGCAAAGAAGGACCTGACATTTGAGCCGTGTCACGACAAAACCAACATAATGGGTTTGCGATCAGCATGGATCCAGACCAGCCTGCGCATCTGCGCAGTCTGATCAGGATCCATGCTGTTCGCTTACAAACCCTATAACAAGTAGAGAAACTGATAGCGAACAGCATGGATCCTGATCAGACTGCGCGGATGCGCAGGCTGGTCTGGATCCATGCTGGTCGCAAACCCATTATGTTGGTTTTGTCATGACACGGCTTATTTGTAGCTTGTTTGTATGCCTATAGTTATATGACAGAGTTGAAAAGAATTTCTATAGACAAAATATTCACCAATAAAAATTAGGGATTCTAACAAAAAAGTATAAATAGAGTTATTTTATCTTTATACTATTTTTTTGGAATTAAGCGCAAAATTTAAAAATAAGGTACATCATAAACTTGTGAATTTAAACTTTATCAAAACCAAGACACAAACTCGCTTGTCCAAGTCTCGTTAATGTCAAGCTATCTCTTCCTATGTAACAGTGCAGGTATATTATAAAACTATAAGATATACTAACCTTCTATGCAATTTAACAGAATCACTGTTATCCATATAAAAATACTACTTTTTTGTTTTGCGTAAAGTTCCATGTCTGTGTCTTTACATTTGGAATATAACGGTTTCCCTTTATTATTACTTAATTACTTTTTAAAATCACATTATCTTTGTATTATCACTTTCAGGTTTTCTCATCTGTGAGTTATAATCAATTCAGTTTTTTTTCAACTTTGTAATTTCAAATTATATAATTTTCCATAATTTTGTCTGTGATTTATTTCTTCTTTTTTGTGTTATTGTTATTGTTATTGACTCTTCTCTTTTCCGCAGATTAAATTAAATAATAGATGTTTTTTTAAATTGTAGATATTTTTTTAATATAAATAATGATATTTTTCAACAAAACTGCATAAGTATTATTTCATATGTATTCTCTAAGAAATACTCAGTCTAATTTGGTTGCTTCCTTTAACTTATATGTTTTATATATTCGCATTAAACATTTGCCTTACTTTGTTAAGCATGTTACGTAGCCAAACAAAAGCAGATACGACACTGTCAATCAAGATAGACCGACATAAGTGCCTTTTTGTAAATACCACCCGCCCTCTTTCTATTCAACCACCCATACAATTGATGCGGGCAATGTGTTTAGATACCTTCGACATTAATTAGTAGCTAAATCAATCACCCGCCTCCCTTAGGCACGTCGTGTGACATTTCACAACTTCAATGTTTGTCTGCCCGTCTTAAGAGGTTCCTTTTTTCTTTCGGACATTTTTACTTATAAATATAAGGATATAGAAATTCTAAAACCGGCTAATATTACGGAGAACAAATTAAAAGATGCTTGCTTTGAAAAACCGAACCTTTGATGTGTTTTTAGAAGCATTTATAGATCAAGGTATATAAAAGATAAGTGTTTATATAGACTAAGCGCCCATTTTTAAAAGGCGTTTTAAGCAATATTTGTTGATGATAATTGGAAACGAAAACTGGAATGTGATGTTGATTTTCTTAAACCAAATCTAGACAGTAAATAAGAGCTATTTGTGTTGTTGTTGTGACTCTTGCTGCTGCAGATGGTGATGATGATGGTGATGATGATGATGATGATGGTGGTGGTGGTGATGATGATGACTTTTGTGAATATGTAATATTGATAACATAGTATATGCATATTTACAAACTTAAGATATTTCTATAGTTCGTATATATTCCATATCAACAACAGCAATTATGATGTCAGGTATATTCTATCTCATGAGTTAGTTACATGCGCATATTTATGAACTGACATGAAGCTTGCAAATCTATGTTTCTACGATAATTGACAAGTATCAAACAACATCCAGATGATTGCTCTTAAAGCTCCTAACCTATTGGATTGTACAGATTCCTTTTTCGGAACTGTTCGTTAACGGTTTAAAGCACCGATGTACAGGAATGTATGGCTCGTTAACAGGCCAAATGTCTTATAATGGTGACAAAGCCTTAATCATTATCTGTTCTAGCAAAATGAATATGAAATCTGAAACAATATGTGCAAGAAAATAAATATTACGGAAATATTTGTTATAATTTGTAATAGTTATATAATTTACCTAACCTATCTTTTTTCAACTTAGCGAAATTAAATTTTATTAAAAGAATTTTATGCAACACCTATTTGATATACCCTGTACTAAAACTTTTCAATACAAAATCTGCTTAGTCATTCATTCTATGGAGTATCAAATTCTGTTTTTAAGACATTTGGCCTGTTGACGAACCATTATTGGACAGTTTGTAGTCAAAGTGTTAAGATTTTCCTTAGCGTCATCTTCAGGGGTGTTGACAAGTAGATGACAGCAACTTGACCTCTTGGTTGTTACTGAAAGAATACTTGTAACGCTGTTTCATGCTACTCCTGTAATAATAAGTGTACACATTGTATAGTTAAGCTGAGTATCATTGACTTAGACCTTAATTTGAATGTTATTACCGTTTATTGTAATATCGTCCGCGTCCCAGTTTGTCTCGCAATCGCATCTCCTCGGCTCTTTCCGTCAAACTTCGGATAAGAACTATTATGAATAATAGCCAAGATGCTGCGATTGTTTGTCTCGCTGTCTCAAAATATTCGGTAGGGAATGAAAAGTTATCGTAACAGGCATCAGTTTTTCTTGTTTATTTTAATTATAATCAATATCAAAAATTATTAAATGGCATGTAATTATCATATGTAATTATCATATAATCAAAAGAACATTGTAATTCTTTTAAATTCAAATTTAAAAAGTGAGTGCATATTCAATTCAAGAATGAATGAATAAAAAAAATTGCATAAGAAGTACAACTCTGAGTCGATATAAATTTAATTAAAAGCATTTTTCCAGCTTAAATTCGAATTTTGTTGTACGAATATATTGTATCCTGAGAACAAAGATTATGGAACATCAGTATATTCTACAGTGTGGTGAAGTGAAGCTAAGCAATTTTGAAATGTTTATACTTATATAACATTTATTCAGTTATATAGATAAAGATAAAAACAGAATTCCTTAAAAAAAATCCAACACGTCAAAATTGATAATGTAGCAGACTCAATTTAATTGAGCATTTTCATAGACGGTAGAAGTAACTGCAAGCTACCTTCCTCGCCCCCCCCCCCAGCACCGGCTTAAGCAGAATGCATTTTTAGGTACTATGTTAACCTTAAAGTTTCTTAAATGAAGAAATGAAAATTGTAATGGACAGTCTACTACCTTCTTATATCCTTAAAATTTTAATATATACTATCTTTATAGTGGTGATATTATTGTTGTGGTTACTGCCGAATCTTTTGGAAAATGCAAATCAAAACATAAATATTTTTCAGAGGTGTTGTTTGTTTGTTGTTGTTGTTGTTTTTGTTTGTTTGGGGTTGTTTTTGTTTGTTTGTGTTTTTTCAGTATTTTTTTTCAATAATAGTATTTTGTGAAGCTCGGTACTAAAAATACTGGAATCTCATATTTTAATGAAACACCTTTAAAGGGCGTTTATTTAAGTTTGTCAATGAAGCTCTACGAGCGGTGCATCGTCATACACAATTAAAATTTGTTTGCTTTTGAAGTAAAGTGGTCCATAATGGACGATCTGTTACCATAAATAATAATGTTGATAGTATTTAGCATCACGTGTGGTAACAAAGCTCTAGTTCTTTGTGTTGTTTTCTTAAAGAGGATTTTTTAAGTTTTTTACTATATACATTATAAGGAAAATGAAAGACCGCCCGGGACAGGGTCAATTTTAATCCAAGGGCTTTTTTTAACAAACTTGATAGACACTAACTAGAAGATGTGTCATGCTGAATATCTAAGCTCTAGCTATTTGTTCTTTTTGTTTCGTTTTTTTTAAAGAAGCTTTTTTTTTACTATATACATATAAGGAAAATCAACGATCCCTTGGGGGCCAATTTTGACCTCAGGGCTTTTATTTGAACAAAATTGGAAGACACTCACTAGAAGTTGTTTCTTGCTCTAGCTATTTGGGTTTTTAAAAGAAGATATTTTTTGTTTTTACTATATACATATAAGGAAAATCAACGACCCCCGGTGGCCAATTTTGACCCCAGGGCTTTTATTTGAACAAACTTAGTAGACACTCACTAGAAGATGCTTCATGCTATATACCTAAGCTCTAGCTATTTAGGTTTTATTTTTTTTTAAGGATTTTTTAGTAAATACATATACATAGAAGTTTTTACTAAAAGGAACATCAATGACCACCAAGTTGGAGCCAATTTTGACCACAGGGCTTTTATTACAACACTTGGTAGACATTTACTAGAAAATGTTTCATGCCAAATGTCTAAGCTCTAGCTCTTTGGGTTTTTTTAAGAAGATTTTTTTAAGTTTTTTTCCTTCAAATGCGCAACCAGCGTTCTGCATGGAATTAAATTCTTTGAACTAATGTTTAAAGGTGACCACCAAAGGAACATCCCTCTGAAGTTTGGATAAGGAGATGTCGTTTAAAGTAAAAGTTTACGGACGGTCGACGGACAGACGGACGGACGCCGGACGAATTGTGATCACAAAATCTCACCTTGTCACTTTGTGACAGATGAGCTAAAAATGATGCATTCTGTTGTTTTCTTTATTTAAAATACTTGTCCATTTTAGACCTGTTTATTTTAGTATTATAATTAGTATTTTGGTATTTTCCTTTAAAAGAATTGCAATTTTCTAGTTTTGAAATCCAAATCCATTCTGTTAACGTGCCTGCCCGCTTATAATTCGTGGGGGAAGGTACGATCCTCAACAGAAGCGGAATTTCTTAGTGATCACGGACAGTGAATATAATGGTCATTTGGGTCTCATCGCTGATTCAGAAATCATCTAGGATAGTCGGATTACGGATGAAGGAAGAAATAAGAATTAGCAAATACTGGGGATCGCCGAAATATTACCAGAAATGTCAAGAGTAAACAAACAAAAGAGAGAAAAAACCATCTGTTTACGCACATACCTTTGTCATTGTTCATCTGTATTCAAAATAAATCTTTACGTAATAGCAGAATGAGTAAGACAGTAGATATAATGAATTTTTAAATTCTGTAAGAAATTCTAGCACATCTTAAACTTGTTTCATAAAAAGGCACAAGTTTTTTAAGTCAAGTCGCGGGTGTTTGTTTTTGGGGAATAAACTTTTCACTTTCGAAAAGACATTGTTCTTGTTTAAATGTCTAATATCAACTTGTACATTTAAAATACATAAGGTCCATCGGAATATTAACTTTCCCAGTGTTTTTTTTATTCTGGTCAATCTTTAAAGTTAGGCAACCAGTGCGTCTCTAGCGTTCAATATTATTATTCCAAGTACCTGTACCTGACGAGTGTTAACAATTAAGATATATGAAAGTCTTTATAAGCTTAAATCTTATAAACTCACCCCGATGATTTACCTAAACTGTGACCGTTAGCCGAACATTTTGATCAGTTTGATTCTCAATCGCGGCAACATTAATTTGATTGCCGAGAACGGGTCGTCTATAACTGATTGATTGATTAATTGATTGATTGAGTGATTGATTGAGTGATTGATTGATTGATTGATTGATTGATTGATTGATTGATTGATTGATTGATTGATTGATTGATTGATTTATTTATTTATATTAATTTTTTTTTTTTCTCCATTTCTCGTTTTAATCATTATTTTATTAACAAAAATAACATTTCAATATTATGAATGTGTATAAAGTGAAACGTGAATTGCGACTGAATTGACCTAGTGACTTATTATGTCTGACCGAATACTAGGCTACATCTAGATTACCTTAACATGACCTCTTAAGCATTTAAAATACTATTGTTGACAACATTCGCAAAGAAATGTAAATAAATAATAGAAATTAATGATACTATATTTATAAAACTACTCACTGCGTAATAAAAAATGACATAATATTGACGTACTTGGCCGAAATTTGTCAACCTAACAACCGCCGAATATAATCCGTAAATAATAGACTCAAACTTCATCGTTGTCAAGGCTAGTCTGGGCATAAAAATTTCATGGCAATTTTAAGTGGATCAAGTAAAGTTGCATACCTCCGGATGAGCCTCAATATTTCAAGAAAAATAAACTTGAGAATTTTTTTTTAAAAATTTCTAAAAGATTTTTAGAAAAGTAAAAAAAATCAAGATTCAATTTGCACATATTATGTGCGATAAAAGATCGATTTTGCACTTTTTATCACCATGTTTCTACTGCGTGACTAACGCAGAAAGGGATTCTTTGCTTATTTAGACCTCTCTTTGGTAATTTTCGTGGATTGCAAGAGCCTTTTGCGCTTGGTTGGCTACAGTATTTTACTTTTAAATATATTCTGAAATATTTTTATAAAAAATAAGCATGAATAAGGAGGCATAATACTAAATAACTGTTTATATTATATTTTGATTTATATTGTTTGTATAATGCATACCACGAAATTATTATTTTGTTATGTTCTGTCCTGTTCTGTTTAATGAAACAAAAGTAAAGCTGATGAATTTATTTATGTATTTTGAGCTGATAGTGAAAAGTTATAATTAAATCAAGCTCAACTGAATATTCGGTAAACGAAATAGTCGGTAAACGAACTTTAAAGTTTAGGTTCGGAAGGAATTTGGTTACATTTTGTACTGTATCATCGGATGTCGCAAAGTGCATCTCCCTTTGGCCCTGTAAAATATCTATTGGAGACTCCATGTAGAGATTGAAATATCTTGTCCTTAAATACCATTTGAAGTGAATAAATAAACCTGTTAAGCTGTTTTGTTGATTGACTGGTGCGAACAAAAGGACAGATAACACCCTTTTTAAGATTGAAAGGAGAGGACTTTACATAATTACGTTAAAATGAATGAAACCTGCGGTACAAATACTTAGTATCTGGAATGAAACATTAAACACGGTTTCAAATGTCTGTCGAATTAATAGGCAATTTGTCAATTTATTAAAATTAACGAAAAAAAGAGAACTTAAAAACATTGTAGTTTAACTGTCTTAATCACGGCTAAACAGATATTACTCCGCGTATTCCTTTGAAGCGCTCACGTTCTGCAAACATGTTTTAATTTGTTATGAATTTTAAGAAGAACACTTTCCTCTCTTTAATATGTCCTAAGCAGGTGCACTATATACTTCAGTTTCAATGACCGCTTATTTAAATCTTTTTAAATGTCTAATCAAATTTAAATTCAACAATGATTTGAATTTAATTCCATAGTATCAACTCGTTTGAATGTATGCAAAAAAGTGCGCGGTATTGAAATAAAAGAACACCCAATAATTTAATGAATATTGAAATAACATGCAAAATAAATAGCATTGTTACACGGCCTGCATTTTATGTATTCTCTTAATCACGGAGTTGGTGATAATTCTTTTTATATTTATTTCAGCAAATATAACCCCAAATAAAGAGAGGCAAGAAGATTGAGGCTAAAATATTGAGTTTCCTTTGATCCAAGGTGTACATTGGAAAAAAGATTTAAAAAAAATCCTCCTTAGTATATAAACGATATTTAAAAAAAAAGTAAAATTTAAAGAATAACGTCGGGTAGAAAGAAACACAGCCGATTTTTCTTCACCGTATATTGCTAACTCTCTTATATGAAAAAGGGGAGGGGTTCGGTGACGTCCACAGATAAAATCATATGGTCCCTGGTCGACCAATGATAAAATTTACACTTTATAATGTTTAATTACACCGTGCATTTTTAATAGCATTACAAAACATCCATTAGAATAACCACATGCCTCGGAAAAACACATGTTATTCTATGTATGTATGTATGTACGTATGTACGTATGTACGTACGTACGTATGTACAGTGAATTTGAATTGCCAGTGGAAGATGACAATGGTTTTACCAAGGTAGCTGGGATTGATTAACAAAAGAAAACCACATGCGTACAATTCCATCTTGATAGAATAGATTATATAATCTGTTAGATTTAAAACCAAGTCTTATGTTATTATCAAATTGATACAATAGTAATTTCACATAATAAGATAATCGCTTTGTTGACATTAATACCGGAAAAAACTAGTGACTTTATCCTTGACTTTAATTTCGTCAAGAGTCCAAAATAGGTTACAAAATAATATAGGACATGTGTCCGGCTGCCTTGGCTTCTGGGATATGAGAAAACTTTGTTCATGATATCTTAACGACAAAACGATGCATTACAGTTTTATCGTCACGGCTATGCTAGTTTTACAAAAACAAACACACATATTATGAGACAGATTGATAATATCTGTGTACGCATGACATATATACATATAAGACTTATTTATGCATTCGCCTTAATATATGACTAAAAGAAACAGAATTCGTTTGTCACATTTATAAGAAGTATTTTTGGTACGGCCTCAAAAGAATTGTTGAATTTTTATCAGTTTGTTTTTCTTTTTTCCGTTTAATTACACACAGGTTTTTCCCATTTCTAACACAGAATGTTTCCACATTTCTAATACAGATTAAATAAACGCTAATAAAAAGATTGTTTTAAAGTTACCTATAACTATAACTTTCTATTCAAAACGTTAACACTTATAATTATAATAATCAACATTTTATTAAATAAATCATTTTCATATAACAAACATTAACAAAATTATGTGCGTTATTAATAAAAAGATCAACAAATAGAATAACTAAAACATATATTTGTACACTAGCGAACTCTTAATAAGAACATCAACATAAGAAATCAAATTATTTAAAAATTGCAAGCACATTGTTAAAGTTAAGACATAATAATTTAAAGACAACAGTATGTTTTTAAAGGATGTATTACTTGCAGCCATGTCAAACAAAGTTGTCATAACTTTGAAATACATTACGTGCATCGCATTTTTTTTTATTAAAAGTACATTAAAGTTTTGAATGATTTATGATGTTTAGATTCCATCTGTTACATTTTATTTCAGATAAATTCGAAAATGACAAAACATAGGTTTGAAACGGTCAATTAATACCAAGTTGACGCAAACTTACTAATTGCTTTTTCCAATTAAAATCATTGTAAACACATAATGATACCGTTGTCGTGATTTTCGTGCTATATTTGGAGAATGTAAACTCAATTTGTAATCACGACTGTATCTGTCTTCAACGGCAGCCTCCATGCCTCCATTTAGTGTCGTTGCAAAGTAAACACTATAGGGCCTGTGTAAATTAGAGGAACCAGGAAGAAGGAAAATCTTTGTTTTTCTTAATAACTCTCTTTTACAAATTCTTTGCACGTCAAATAAACGACTAGTACGCGTTCAATCTTACACACATTTTGCATTAAATGTAGCAATTAGCATAGTAAATCATAATTAAAGCCACAAAATAAATAGCATTTTTATAATGATCAGTTTGAATGGAACTTCATTTCTTTCCAATTTCTGCTGTTTCAGTTCCATTCATCTTTATAGGTGTGTCTTGTTTTCGTGATGACAAATTCATAACAGATTCACTAACAACTTCTATATTTGTACGTATTGTTGGTTTGACCGGCGTAATCACACGTTCTTGGTCTATGTTGTTGAGTACCGATGGTGTGAGGCCATTAACTTTGACATTATTACTTTGACTTAACTCAACATCACCAAAAGCCGTGTTCTGATCACTTGGTTTTGGACCTTTTGCTAACAAACCTGACAGCAAGTTTGTATGACTCGCGTTGAATGATGTCCTCAGTGCTCTTTTGCATTGATATAAGATGGTTATCTTTTCCTTGTCTTTGTCACTAAGATATTCCCGTTGTCCAACTTTCGTCTCATCGACACCTGGTTGTAATATTCTTATAGTGTTGTACAACCTGGCAAATTTGGAGAACTGGTTGATTTTATAGTGCATGATTGAATAGTAGTCGTACGGAGTAAGGAGTTTAGTGTTAGAATTCTTGTCGAAATCATGATCGTGACCTGAAATGGTAAAGCAAAACCTTGTTAAAGATAATTATTTATCTTTACCAAGTAAGCAAGTGTTGTATTATAAATTTTATTAACAAACTATGTTAATATATTACAATAAATGTCATGAAATGTTATTATTTAAATGTAATTTAAAGATATTTCAAACAATTACTGTATCAATAATTTACGGCTTACACAAATAAGAATAGAAACAATCGTATAAATTATGTAAAGGATTTTATTTTCATTTTTTCTTTATGGTAACTTATTTATTTTTGTCTTTCCACAATCATGTACACAAATGCTATTTAATTATGCTCCTAACTACTATGAGTTGCATTGAAAACCATCAGTAAAATAATTTGGATTATGTTTTAAAGTATTTATTCCTTAGTCATAAAATATAGTTTGTATTATATTATTATGACAATGTTTTAAAGGTATCAAACATGATCTCATATTTTGGCCTGTATATTTTCATTATTACTATTTTTAAATAGGGAAATCCCTTCAGCAGAAGGAGAAAAAAGCATTGTTCATGTACCGACGTAATTGGTATGCAGTCCTCAAAAAATAAGCTATTTCAAAGGGACAGACAAATATAGTAGGTTCCGTGCAGTAAGATCATGGTCTCCACTGGTTGCTATTCACTCAGTACATATTTTGATATTTTCTCTACAATGATATATGGTGTTGTCAATATTGCAAGATATAATGGCAATAATAGATGTTAAGCATAGAAAGGATAAATATACCTGCTCGGACATTGTGGTAAATTATTTCTATATAATTGTCTCTATCTGTACGGGTATGCTCGTGCCACAATCCTAGCGCATGAAGTAACTCGTGCATAATGATGCCTTTAGAAACACATTCTGATGCTCGAGAAATAGAGACCGACTGGTTACCTCCCTTCTTCCCAATATCACTTGAGCAACTAAAACAAAACAAAAATGTAATGACGTGCTTGATTTGGCATCTTATAAGTCTCATAATGTCCGTGTGTTATAAGAGTTTTATGTGTGTATAAATCCCGGTTCGAGCGGTCACCTGAGTACATATTTTTTAACTTTGTTACGGTGCCTATACCACTTGACTCTTTTTATCTTTGAAAAGAAAAAACAATATTCTAACATGTTTCAAACTTGTTTATTCTACAGATAGGACAATCAAGTGAATTACAGCAAGATTTATGCACAGCATAGGAGAAGAGTACTTTCCCGTCATATGACGTCACATATGACGTCATTCAACCAAAGGACGCCAGGAAAATTACTTCTACGCTCATTGTAGTTCAACAATTTTTTATCAATCATAAAAGAAAATCTTAACTGAACCGTCTTTTGCTTTCCTTTTCTGACCCACAGAGTTCACAAAATGTCACGTGGCATTTGTAACTTTTTCAACTAAGTTAAATATGGTGCTGATAAGTTATATTCTTAGTTAGTTCGAAGCCGGGTTCAGTTTTGAACAATTTTATTAAGTCCAGGGAAGGAAACTAGACTGGGTTGAAATTGTAACACAAACTTCCATACTTATCTAAATTATGTGTTGCTACTTCAAATTTTATTAGGGGAAACATGTACCCATGTCAAAGATAGCGGTGCTTATCAAATAAACCGTTTCAATATTCACAGCCATATCATTAAAAATTTAAAACTTAACATTTAATTAGTATGCGAATAAATACTCAGAAATGATTGATTATTTTTAAGTAAAACAAAACACATACTCTAAATTACGGCTATCGATGTATAAGAAGTCTTTGTGCTGTTCTCTAGGTATAAATTGTATACATCTATTAACTCCACTCATAATTTCGTCCATAGCATTAAGGATCGTTTGTTTTTCAGTTGAATCTGTAAATAATATGGAAATAATCAACATTCTTATACAATGTATAAGATATTCTTTAAAGCCACTCTGATAATCCCCAACAGAATCTTTGAAGACATACAAGGTAAAGCCGAAATTGATTTGTTTTTGTTTGATTTTATGGCGCACAAACCCATTTTAGGTTATATGGCTCCGAAATAGGTAAAATAGTTTTGGCTTACTTTTTGTGTTACAAACTTAAAGCACCATCATGTGCCAAAACAACCTCACCTGCTGGACCCAAGAGATATATAGACTCTAGTAACTCGAACCCATTTAGTCTTGTCTTACGATCACACAGGGATAAAACTCATTGAGAAAACATACAAGGTAGGCCAAGATTGTGAAGACATACACGACAAGTCATTGTGAAGACATACATTTGTGCAAAACAAGTCGACATTGTGAAATTTACAAGCCAAGTCATACAAAACAAACCAACATTGTGAAGACAAACAAGACAATTGGAGACTGGGAAGACATACAACAAGGCAATTCGACATGGTGAACACATATAATACAAGTCGAGATTGTCTATAAACACAGGACAAATCGGCATTGTGATTGATTGCTCAAACAATAACTCTTATTTAAGTTTTAAGACATTGCCAATGACGTAAATATCCAATTTTAACAACACAGTCCTGTCATGCTTTAAGAAAGCACAATTTGCAGTGCATTGTCATGAGAGCACGGGTGCTTAGGCAACATGATCTTGCACTTTGGAACAACCACAGGGGCACCTGTAGACCGAATGCTAAAGTATACAGCTTACATTGGTTAAAAATGCCAACTCATGAAATGTTGATGCAAGGTGGTTTACATGATTAACAACAGGTTGATAGAAATACTTACTGAAGAGTGGGTCTATCTCATAAGGTATAATTTTCTCTAACCATATCTGCTCTGCAGCAGAATTTCTGATCTGAAATTAAAAAAATTTAAAACATTTTAAACATTCTCATTTAAATACAAATAAAAGCAAGTGAATTCTACTTTTTAAATTAAAATTGGTTTTTGTATTTTGAATTTGATTAGAATTTTATTGTATTTATCTCTAATGCAGTATAATTTTGACACGTACTATTACTCAATCACGTTATATAAGAAAAATACTTAATGACCAAAAATAAGATGAGAATGAGGAGCATTGAATCTTTTAAAACATACACAATTTCAAAAGTTTTGAAAAGTATTGAAATAGAGAAAAACAATCCCTAAAGAAAGCTCAAAACGAAATGAAATGAAACTGTTGCAGACTCGGTGGGGTGGACAGTATTGGAAAAAGCAAGTTACCGTCCACAACTCCTAGCATCGGCTTAAGCAGAATTCAACATTTAAACACGAAAAAAGGTGGACATTGAATTTAGAAACATCCGTAGATGTGCTCCTAAGAGGTTATCAGACTTCACTATGAACTGAAAGCTTTACTTGACTTTTTTTAAGTTTTAAGTTCAAGTCTATCAACACATTAGTAAAGTCTGGTGACGCTCTATACTGTTGGTAGCTCAAGGTCCGAATGTTTGATATGATCTACCCTGATAAATTAGATTAATACTTTCGTTTATGAGTTAATAAATGGTATGCTGGGCTATTTTGTATGTTTGATCATTTGTAAGACAGTTTTACCTGGAGAGAATTTGTCAACGGTTTACTTAGGGACTCTTGATTTGTAGTTGTATCCTGAAACGAAAATGTAAAATTACATTAAAATGTACTTTGTCTGCTAGTATCATTTTATATGAAGTTCCGTAAAAAAAGACAACTTAATTATTATTCTAAGCAGAAAGCAGAATATTAACGTAGCTATATTAACGAAATCATCGATACAACTAATGAAAAACTAGAACTGTGTTCAAAGGACACGGATGCCCCCACCGACAACATATTTATGATATATAGTGAAAAATTCAACAAACGGCCATAATTCTGTTAAATTTGGTCGCAGCAAAAATTCCTTCCTTTACTTCCTTTTACACATTAAGGTTGTTTATCCCTGGAAGTTTAAGCAAATTCTGCCGTCCGGTTTAAAAGGAGTTGCGTTAACAAAATTTTTATATGGTATATAGTGAAACAATCAACAAAGGGCAATAATTCTGTTAAATTTGGTCGCAGCGAAAATTCCTTCCTTAACTGCCATCTACACATTAAAGTTGTTCATCCCTGGAAGTTTAAGCAAAATCTGCCGTCCGGTTTAAGAGGAGTTGCGTTCACAAGATTTCGGGACATAAACGGACAAGTGCAACGCTATATGCACCCCACTTTGTGGGGGCATAAAAAGTAGAAAGAGACGTAAAAGACTATTCTTCCTTTCACTACTGTTGTAAAAGGCGAAACATCAATTGTCTAACGGTTGAGCAGCACATTATATGTATGGAAATATTTTCTCTATTGCTTACCTTTCGTGAACTGTCTGGCGGGGGAGCACCGTGCCATATACGAATATCACCCTCTATAAGATATCCTTTACTCAACTCCACACCTGTTTGAAAATGTTTAATATAGTGAACAAGTCATGTAAATAATATCAGCAATTATAAAAATCAGGGTGGTCGGTTGAGAGATGATATACATTGTGGTTAAAAAGATTGAAATTTTGGGAAAAATAGGGAAAATATTAAAAATTAAATGTTTTCAAATTTTGTTAAGCTTTAAAGTCAATTGACTTTTGGCACTTTAACCCCTTTTTCATTGCCCTGTTATTTGACGCAAGGGGGTTGGGAAGAAACATCTTACTCAGTGGCCCCCCCGCAGCATGTCAAATCCCAATATTCTTTCGGAAAAAAACCCGTTTTAAAGACCTGCTTGAAATAGGGATGTATAAAAAAGATGAAAACGATTTAAAATTTTTTTTAAATTACATATTTCCCAAATTTTATTCACTCCTATGTTTTTTTAAAGGTCGGGGTTTAAAATGCAGGTTTTGGGTATATTCACGGGGGAAAGGAAAGGGTTAAAAAATAAGTAGCATGTGTCAAAATGATTTTTTTCTTCTTCATAAATTGAATAAAACGAAAGTAAATTTCTGCTGCAATTAGAACATCTCGTTTATCATCAATAATAACCTCAGACGTGTTACGTATTGAAAGCAGTTCTACCATGTGGTTTTAGATGTAAACAAAAAACAAAGGGTGTAATCTTTGATAATGTATACGAATGTATATATTTAACATCCAAAGGAAAATAAATTCTTTTTCTGTAAAATTATGATTAAACATATGTCTGGCAATCATAATCAATTTAAAGATGCCCACGGATGTACAATTATAACCAACTCTGAATAAATGTCAACAGGTAGAACATTGTATTTAACCATAATAACATGTATGCACATGTATATAAATAATGTATTGTTTACTGTTATATCTGTCAATTTACTTAATTGTGTGCCCTAAACGAGTAAACAATCGGCGGAACTGAGGCTGACGGCAAGGGCAAAAAGGTTTCTGCTATTGTTTCTACTATTTAAAGTATCTACATTTCACTAAAACAGTTTTTGTTGTTGTTGCTGTTGTTGTTGTTGTTGCTGCTGCTGCTGTTGGTTTCATATATGGCTAAAACGTTAAAGAAAACAATATGTAAAATAACTTTTCTACCATACTTAATGTTGACTTTAACTTTCATGTACTCACCGTAACTACAGGCATAAAACGAGGGTCAAATTCTTCTTTGCTTCGTGCAGGATATGCCTCTGTAGAGGGCGCCACAAATAATACCAACAGTGACGTCAGACAGAGAATGCGCATTGCCCTTCCAGTCATTTTTTACTCAGTCTGTATATATACAAAAAGAAATTAGATATAAAATTGTTTCTTGTTGGTTGTTATCTATTAAAGACATTTGCATTTCCTAACGCTACCTTTGTTCTTATTCCTACGAAAAGATACCGTAGTCATTATGATATATCATTTTCATAAAATGATTTAACTTGTCAACATTGCTCCTTGACGCACGTGTACATATTCATGACAAGAAACTTGATATGTTTTACTATTATCATGATTATTACGATGTATAATCATAATGATACTTCATATTGCTATTATTGTTATTATTAACATCATTGTTAATGTAATTCAAAAAATTTTATTAACAAATTTCGAGGGTACCATCATTATCCTGAACGAGGAGTTGTATGTACTATGATTGTGATAGAAAGATCTTATTTATTTCTGGTTACAGAAATGGAGCATCAACAAATAGTGATGGAAATATTCGGTTATTATCCACGAATATTCGGTTACCATCCACGAATATCAATAGCTCCATGTCTGCAGAATTAGTATTATCACGCCCGTTTAACTCACAACGAGTGAAAAATGTCCATCGGTAAAAATGTTGTGAGCAACTTCCGTTCCTCGTTGTGAGCACCCATCTATGACGTGTGACACGATAAACAAGGTGAGTTTTTCATAATTTTTGAAGATTACAGAAATTTAATTAAAAATATCGGAATGCAGTTAGCTAGCGATGTGTTTTCCGAGTATGCACAAGTAAAGATATTGCCTGTTGGTGGACAATTTGATTGAAATACCGTGCGACGCAGTCACTCGGGGTGGCTGGAAAACTGGAGACAACTTCTCTTTGGACCTAATTTAACATTGAAAACGTCGATTCTGGTGACGTTTTGTGCATTCTAACCTAAAACAGATGCCCACAAGTCTTCAGCGTAAATTATTATCTGAAAGTCTTCATAGAAACGAAGATATACCCTTTTTTGCTTTAATCCTTGTTGTGAGCACCATAACCTCGTTGTGAGCAAGACAAAGCGCAGTGCGTATATTGGTTTTAAATGTGTAATTCAGATGGTGAAAATATAATTTTCAATCTACCAAAGCAAATTAAAAACGTTTTTGCACAGCAGCATTTCTTTGCAAGACGTTGTGCATACTCCAAAATGGAGGCATATTAGTTTTGGGAACTGTCCGTCTGTCAGTCCGTCAATCCCGTCCGAAAACTTTAACATTGGGCATAACTTCCTTATTAGTAAACGGATTTGATTCATATTTGAACACAACATCCCTTAGCACAAGAACCTTTTCCTACGGACCTGTTTTTATTTACCTTGACCCTGAAAGGCATTTACCTTGAAGCTCAAATTGTCCTAAAACATTTAAGATTGGCCATAATGTCTGGCATAATGTTTAGGCACAACACCTCTTTGGACAAGGCCTTCCAACTATCCTATATTCTTTTGACCTTGACCCCTGAATGACCTTCACCTTGAAAGTCAAATTGTCCAAAAACTTTAAAATTGGTCATAACTTCCTTATTAGTATACGGATTATACTCATATTTTGACACAACAACCCTTTTAGGCAAGACCTTCAAACTGATTTGTATTTATTTTTACCTTGTACCCTGAATGACTTCTAGAACATCCAAAAACTTTAACATTGGTCATAACTTCTTTCTTAGTATGTGGAATTAATTCATATTTGGACACAATGCCCCTTTGGACAAGACCTTCCAAATGACCTATATTTATTTCACCTTGACCTTGAATGACCTTCACATTAAAGATCTAATTGTCCAAAAACAAATAATCTATCTGGTCCATAAATCAAAGGACAAAGCACCATTTCGGGCACCGTGACAGTTCTTGTTTTACATACCTTGGTCAGTCTTCAGCTCAGGATAAACACATGTATGTGTGTATCACACAGATTGTAAATTGTTGAAATATTCATAAACTCCGCGTGATGTTTAGTCGTGCCACACTAGAGTATACGAAATAAAATACCTGATTTACCTCCACTGATTAGTTCTTCTGTTAATCTGATGACTTGTGAATATGAAGAATAATTTTCAAAAAAAAAGAAGAACGACTGCAAAGAAAAACTATTGTACAAAACGTTTTGATTTCTTTTGGTAGATTGAAAATTGTATTCTCGCCATTTGAATATATATTACATATTAAAACCAGGCAAGCACTGCGCTTGTCATGCTCACAAACGAGGTTAGGGTGCTCACAACGAGGATTAAGCAAAAAGGGTATATCTTCGTTTCTATGAAGACTTTCAGATAATAGTTTACGCCTGAAGACTTGTGGGCATTGTTTTTGGTTAAAATGCACAAACCGGTCACCACGAATCGACGTTTTTCAATGTTAAAATTTGGTCCAACAGAGAAGGGTTGTCTCCAGTTTTGCTCAGCCACCCCGCAGTGACTGCTCGCACGGTATTTAATTTTCAAATTGTCCACGCAACAGGAATATCTTTACTTGTGCATATCGGAAAAACGCGCTAGCTACTTGCATTCCGATATTTTTACATTAAGTCTGTAATCTTTTAAAAATTATAAAAACTCATCGTTTGTTTATCGTGTCACACGTCATAGATTGGGGGGTCCAAGAGGGAACGGAAGTTTCTCAACATTATTTAACCGGAATGGACCATTTTTCACTCGTTGTGAGTTTAAACGGGCGTGATTATGTATTTGCTTACTGTAAATTAAAAAACAATCCCCATTATTAAGAATGAGACATTTTTTTCAACCCAAATTAAGGTTCCCCGTGAAGGACTGCAAGTTAATTCATACCTGGCTCTAATGAGTTACCGTAACAGGCATATAAATTAAGAACAAATTATTAGTATTTTAAATAAAAGAATGCCTTGAATTCTTTTTCAACCTGAACTTGGTTCTCGTCATTTAAATACGTATATTTTTTGTTGTTGTTGTTGTTTTGTTGTTGTTGTTGTTTTTCCAAATTACCGTATGTAGATTTATGGCTTGATTCAAGGTATTTCTGGATCATCCCTCATAATTTTAAACTGAGTATATCTTACAGTATTAAGAATGATGATCATGTTTATATTACTAGTTTCTTGTTATTCAATGTTTTAAATGGTTATGTGCTATGTGTGATATTACATATGCTTAATTTGAATTGTTAATTGTGTATGTTAAATTAATTGTTAAAATATTTGACAACAAAGATAATATTTGACAACTTGAAAAAAATAACTACATAATTTTCACTCAGAAAATGATTAATACAAAAAATGTCTTTCTTTACTAATATTGAACTTTTATTGGCCAATTTAGCCATTTTTTCATTAATTTATACATGTATGTAACTATAAATGTAAAAATACTAATACATTGAGACCGATAATTGCATATTATTTTCAAAAATTGAGGTTTTAAACATGTACAAGTAGTACAAAATAATAACAGTAATATATTAATTATTGATTTGTTTTCAAGAAGAAAATGATCTTACCTTATTATAGTATATTTAAGGAGCGGTAAAGTCGGTCCGTTGACTTATCAGCAAGTTGGAAACATAGTTAAATATAACACTCTAAATCCCGGATGTTAAGTAATTTAATATATACATTCCACCAATGGCTAGAGTGCTTAGCGAATCAAAAATTAGGACTACTGTAGGTAAGTTCCTAATTCCTTCTTTTTACAAGGTTACTTGGCAATTAATCAGTACAAAACAACCAAAAGATAAAAGCTAGTCCCCTTTGTACAG